GAGTCAGATAGCCGGTCGTAATGATTATCTACTTATTTTCTGAAAATGACGTAGGGAATGGACCAAGAAGATTCATTCCCATATGCTGAAATTGTGCTCGAGGTGGATGTAAAGGTTGGAGGAAGCCGGCTGGCTATGCGGGTGGAGCTTTACACCTCTGACAGTGACGGCAGGTGTGGACACAGCGCTGAACGGACGAATACAGCTGTGGCCAGTAGTAGGTACTTCTGTCGGATGCGCGCTAATGTCCTAGCAAAGCCTAAGTGACCAGCAGAAAGATCGTCGTGGCACTCCTGCAAAACTTTCTCACGCAGTGCCGTTGCAACGGCGAGAAAACTTCCTGGCTGCTCTCAAGATTTCTCTTGTATATAACATTGTTCCACAGGCAATACAATGTTAATCCACGTGAGAGCCGGCGTGGGATGATAACGTCTTCTCCTTGAAGATGCCGGATGACAGGAATGAGCTCAGTGTCCTCACGTTGACGCTCAGCCATCCGCACCACATCGACGATGCCAAAAACCGGTAAATCTTGTTCAGTGTCAGATGACGTCAGGGAAATAGGAGCACGAGACAGGCAGTCAGCCTCTGTATGCTTATGTCCTGATCAGTAGACTACCGTTATGTCGTACTCTTGAAGGTGTAGGCTCCAGCGGGCGAGGCAGCCTGATGGATCCCGTAGATTGGCAAGCCAACAGAGCGAATGATGGTTACTGACTGCTCTAAATGGCCGGCCGTATAGGGAGGGTGAAAACTTGTTATGGCCCAAACGATCCTAGGCTCTGTTTTTCAGTGATAGAGTAGTTAGCTTCTGCTTTTGTGAGACTACGGCTTGCGTAAGGGATCACACGCTCTGCGCCAATCTGCCATTGAACTAGAATGGCTCAGATTCCTATGTTGCTGCCTGTGACGGCTTCACTCCGATGGAGGCGGAAATGTTGTAGGCCCGTATGCTCAGATTTTACCGCACGTTAAAGAACCCCAGGTGGTCGAAATTTCCGGAGCCCTCTGCTACGGCATCTCTCATAATCATATGGTGGTTTTGGGACGTTAAACCCGACATATCATATCAATTCCTATATTGCTGGCATTTGTGTGAATCTCGGTGTCGGCAGTGTCGTCGAAATGGGCCACCACTGGAGCTGTCTGCAGTCGATTGCGTATCTCCATGAAGGCTTGTTGTTGTTCTTTCGTCCATACGAAAGGCACATCTGGCTGTGTCAGTCTTGTAAGAGGTTCCGCAATTTTCGAAAATCCTTCGACAAAACGGCGGTAGAACGCACAGAGTCCGAGGAATCGCTGAACAGCCTTCTTGTCTCCAGGACTAGGGAAATCAGCAACGGCAGCCAACTTCTCCAGGATCTAGTCAAACACCCCACGGGCTCACCACGTGGCCGAGAAACTTGAGTTCCTGATAGCCGAAGTTCGGGCTTTGTAGTAAGTTCGCTCTTCTTATTGCAGTGAGGACACTTTTTAGCCTTAAAAGATGCTTGTCAAACATGCTTGAAAACACAACGACATCATCCAAGTATACAAGACACGTCTGCCACTTAAGTCCAGCTAGTACAGTGTCGATCATGCGTTGAAATGTGGCGGGAGCAGAACAGAGACCGAAAGGCAGCACTTTAAATTCGTAGAGCCTGTCGGGAGTCACGAACGCGGTTTTTTCACGGTCGCCCTCGTCAACTTCAGTTTGCCAGTGCCCTGACTTGAGATCTAACAATGCAAAGAACTTGACGTGGCGTAGACGGTCTAAGGCATCATCAATCCGTGGCAGGGGGTAAACGTCGCATTTTGTGACTTTGTTAAGCCGTCGATAATCGACGCAGAAGCGTAGTGTGTTGTATTTTTTCTTTACTAAGACAACAGGTGATGCCCACGGACTTGTGGAGGATTTAATTACGTCATCATTCAGCATTTTTTGAACTTGACGCCTAATCACCTCTCTTTCCTTCGGGGACACACGGTATGGATGTTGGCAAAGAGGCCGCGCTGACTCCTCGGTAACAATGCGATGTTTTGCAACGGTTGTACGTTGAACTTTCGATGATCTGGAGAAGCACTCGAGAATTCTCTCACAAGGTTTAGCAGCCGTTTTTTTCGTGAATCTAGAAAGTCTGGATTAACGTGAATGCGGCTTCCCGGGTCAGCACAAGCTTTTGCATGCGGTGAAGTCGTATCCAATGTGCCACTATCGGAAAAGTCGGCAATTTCACTGAGGAAAGCGACAGTAGTGCCACTAGGGACGTGCTGAAACTCATTGCTGAAGTTGGTCAGCAAAACTCGAGAGCATTTATTCTCTAATCGAACGAGGCATCGGGCTATGCAGATGTTTCGTTTGAGTAGCAGCGGGATATTTGCCTCTGCAATACCTTTATAATCATTGAATTCATCAAAAATGGCGCAAGTTACCAAGGTCAACACGTTACTCTTCGGCGGTAATGTGACGTCATCGTCAAAAATTCTCAAAGCATTAACGTCACTGCAGTGAAGATTGCACGCTAAAGCGTGTGCCGTAGAAAACGTCACCTGCGACTCTTGCAAGTCAATCACGGCTCCATTATCACGCAGAAAGTCCAGTCCGAGATTTAGGTCCCTCGAGCAACTCTGCAGTATTACAATATCTTCTAGATACGTAAATCCGTGAATACCGACTCGCGCTGTGCACCGTCCCACCAGAGTGAGAGGATGGCCTCTAGCCGTACGTATATGCGACCCAGCCCACTGGGTAGAAACCTTCTTCAGCCTGCAGGCAAGACCCATGCTCATAACGGAAGTGTCTGCTCCAGTGTCGATTAGCGCCATTACTTCTTCTTCGTCCACAGTTACCGCAATGTTTGATGTCACTACTCTTTGTATCACATTTGACTGCATCTGTACATTTTTTTGCTGCCGTCGCTGTCATCGTAGTGGAGGATCTTCCATAGAGTCAGCGTCAGCGGCCTCACCTCCGGAAATCGTTGAACTCTGTTTTCCCGACTTGCAGGACTGGGTGAACGGCGTTTTGGAGCGCCGCGTGTATAGGCTGGGCTCGGTTACCTGTAGCGAGCAGGCGACGACGAGCAGGTCTTTTGCGACCGATGTTCGATACTGCTACTATTCGAGATGAAACTCTCTATTTCCTGGGATCGCTCGCAAGGTTGTGGACAAGGGGCATTAGGCGAAAATCCACGGAGACCCATACGACAGTATGGACATGTTCGGTAGACGTGTCCAGCTTCCCCGCAGTGGAAACAAAGGGGCCTGTCTGTGGTCACGTGAACACCAGATGCCACTCTTCCTCGGTCGTGCTTCGGCGATCAACGGCGGGCTCCAAGGACGAAAGTCTATCTGTATTGGCTGAGCGCGTCACTCATTGGAGTAAAACACGCTGGTTGAACTGCACGATAGAGGACATCGCACTGCTTCCGCGTAGCTCATTCCGACGCAGTGTCCCTGTAGTGGCACCTCGGACTGTTGGGAACGTGAACGGCTTGCCGTAGCTCGGCGCATACCATCTCCGCAACGGAGAACTGCTCTACAGGTGAAGCAGTCACCTGCATCTTTTGTAGCTCCTCCTTCATGAGAGCTCAGATAAGCTCTCGCAATGCGCTGATGTCATTGCCGAGAGTGACAGAAGTGACCTCACTTGGATGTACACCCCGGTTATACTGCCAGGCACACTGTTGAAGGGCCCTCTCCACGGCAGTGGCTTCCTCATGGAACTCCGCAAGTGCCGCAGGAGGGTTTCAAATCAGGCCGGCAAAAATATCTTCTTTAACACCACACAATAAGTGGCGAACTTTCTTGGATTCGGTCATAAAGGGTTCCGCAGACCTCAAAAGCCGATCCATGTCCGCTATGTAAGTCATCATCCTTTCGTTAGGGCCTTGAACCCTTGCCTCTATAGCACGCTCCGCTGTATCTTTCCTGTCCTCTTGGGCAAAGGCCTTGAGGAACTGCTGGTGAAACTCATCCCATAATGTGAGCGTTGCTTCATGGTTCTCATAGTACAATTTCGCGGAGTCCTCGAGAAAGCAGTATACATAGCCTAGCTTACGCTCTGGGGTCCAGTCGTTAATGACGGCGACCTGGTTGAAATGCTCCAGCCAGTCGTCGGCATCTTCAAAAGCAGCTCCGTGAAATATCTTCGGCGTCCTTGGCTGGTTGACAACCAGGTGCTCTGGTGCTGGCGCTGACGTTAGGCGGTGTTTGATTCATAGTCCTCTGACGTTCAGACAGCCAACCGTGCTGTGGCTCGAGTCCCTGGAGACAACGGCTGGAACAGACGTGCACAGCGGTCAGCTCGGCTGAGCTACTCAATGGACTTGCGTCAGGGATGCTTTCAGGGGACCGTATCATCTACTGGCCCCGCCACGGTGGTCTAGTGGCTAAGGTACTCGGTTGCTGACCCGCAGGGCGCGGGTTCGAATCCCGGCTGTGGCGGCTGCATTTCCGATGGAGGCGGAAATGTTGTAGGCCCGTGTACTCACATTTGGGTGCACGTTAAAGAACCCAAGGTGGTCGAAATTTCCGGAGCCCTCCACTACGGCGTCTCTCATAATCATATGGTGGTTTTGGGACGTTAAACCCCACATATCAATCGTATCATCTACTGTACCCCGCATCTCCACCAGACAATGTCACAAAGGCACAGGGACGCAGGCACAAAAATAGGGCGTTTACGAACTACTTCGTTATCCTCCTCAGAGGCTAGAACTATAGTTGCCAGCCTACCTCGCATCATTAATAATATACTACAGCCAATCTTTACATTATCGATACAAAGATTAGGGCCAACCTACAAAGGGGTAAATCGAATACTTGAAGAGAGAAATGGCAGCTTTTGTAAAACATGCTGCGTCACTGCATGGTTACCACTACAGTAACATGTGGTTTGCTTAGTATGCTTCATTTACAAGGGCAGCAACCATTTGTCATTGCCTGGTGCTGTAATCTATTCACAGAAAATCTGTGTGACATGGTTTTCATTGTTTTCTGTATTTCCTGTGGCTTTGCAGGTTCCTTGTCTTCGGTATCCCATGAGCGGTACCATTCACTCGTGTCCGTCCAAGGCGGGCTAAATTCCTGCCGACAGTGCACCTATGTGACCAAGTACAGTGCAAACATGAAAACGCACATTCGCAGACACACGGGTGAGCGCCCTTTCCTGTGCTACTTGTGTCCAGCTGCATTCTATCAAGAGAGTCATCTCACAGAACATATTCGTACGCACACAGGAGAGCATCCCTATTCCTGTGACGTATGCAACACATCATTCTTGCAAAAATCTCACCTCATAACCCACATGCGTACTCACTCAAGAGAGCGTCCATATTCCTGCAACCATTGCAGTGCATCCTTCTCGCAAAAAAATTGTCCTCGTGAGACACATGCGCAACCACACAGGAGAGCGTCCTTTTTCTTGTGACCACTGCAGTGCATCCTTCTCACGAAATCAGAAACTCGTGCTGCTTGTGTCTCGTTGTCATGAAACCAACAGGCCGTAAAAAGTGAGTAGTCAACAAGCTTTCTTGGAAGAGAAGGAAGTGTGCAAGGTGGGCGAGAAGAGGAGGAGGAGGAGGAAGGGAAGAAATGAAAGGCAGGGAGGTCAACCAGATGCACGTCCGGTTTGCTACCCTGCACTGCGGGAAGGGGTGAGGGGATTAAAGGAGAAGAGAAAGAGAAGTGAAGGGCAACGTGTGTGTAGATGTGACCTTGTCCATTGCAAGCTTATAAGCGGTCGTGTAGTCCGGTCGTCTTTAGAAAACTTAGCAATGCCCGCGTCGCTTTGCTGGCCAGCGATGCGTAGAGCCATGAGCCAAGTATCTTCTCTTCGGAAAAGGTCTACTGTCTAGTGTCTCTAACGTTTCGCGGAGCGAGAGTTTGTTGACTAGAGGTTACAGTGTAGATTGAGATGTGGAAAGTAACTTGGCTTGGCTGCTCGCAAGGGAGAATGTCGTAAATTTGTGAAAGGAAAGGCGAGCTGTAGAAGAGGGTGCAATGAGAGACCACTCTGAGCTGTGATTATCCACACATTTGTGCTCCACTCTGAAACAACACATGCTCCATAAAATAATATGGTAAGTAACTAGAGGCACATGGGAATAAAAAATTGCGCAGTCCCAAGTGGATGAAAAAACTTTCAGCTTGGTTGAAATCTAAACCATGGTTCTCGAATTAGGTATTTTATGTTTGACATAAGGCGGTATTGCTTTTATATTCGGCATAATTTGTTTGCCTTAATGTCATGAGATTATGTACCTTTAAAAAGCTACATATGTTGATTTCATTCGTAAGCCCGCTCCGGCATTTGTTTAGTGAACTATGCAAACGTCGCTTTGCTTGAATGAACTCAAAGACAACAGTGTGTGTGTTTGTGTGTGTGCGTGCACACACACAAACACACACACACACACATATATATATTGTGGGCATTTGTTACTTGCATCGTCCTCATCCCTGCATGATCACAATCACCATCATCCGCTTGTCTCTTTGTCCTCATTGCCACTCTGGTTCATCATCATCGTCATCGTCTGTGTACTGGCTCTGCCCGTTCGTTTTGCGAAATCTTTCCTCAATTAAATGCTGTCGCAACCCAGACTACCAAGACTTCATACGTGGTGGAGGTGGATTTTCGGTCCTCTTACCTCCCGCAGCCCGCTCTACCCGCTGGAGCTTCGTTCAGGCCGCCGATTGCGCCCACTGTCAGGCAGCATGTCCCAGACCGAGCCTACCGGTGCTCATGTCATCAACCACGCACCGACGCAAGCTGCCCCTCCTATTTACATACACGGACATCAGCGGGAACCCCCGCTCTTCGCTGGTCGTCGTGGAGAAGACGTAGAAGACTGGCTCGACCACTACGACTGCGTAAGTGTCACTAATCGGTGGGACGAGGCCGCCAAACTGCGTTACGTCCCATTTTATCTGACCGGAGTCGCAAAGACATGGTATTTTAACCACGTCATTGACTTACCCGACTGGGCTACCTTCCAGCAGCAGCTGCGACACGTTTTTGGCACCCCGGACATTCGATCCGCCGTCGCGAAGAGGACACTTGATACTCGCCGACAACATCCCGGTGAATCGTACACTTCATACATCGAGGATGTCCTTGCACTGTGCCGGCGTGTCAATCAATCCATGCCGGAATCGGACAAAGTGCGCCACATATTGAAAGGCATTGGGCCTGTTGCCTTTAATGCACTCGCTGTGCAAAACCCAGCTACCATCGCTGATGTCGTGACGACATGCCAGCGCCTTGATGCGCTGGACTCCGTTCGCCTCCAACCAGACATTGGCGACCACCACTTCACGTCAGATGGCCACCTGCGCGACCTCATCCGGGACATTATACGCGAAGAATTGCGGTCCATGGGCTTCACACCTCTTACACCACGACCTACACAGCCTTCGGGAATGCCCTTACGTGACATCATCAGGGAGGAACTTACAACGCTGACCGGCGTTGCGCCCGTACAGCCACATGCTTCACGCCCCATACCCACGTACCCTGAAGTTGCTGCTGTGCCTCCCAGCGACGCCCACGCGACATTGCCGCGTCCATCCTACGCGTCAGTTGCTGCCGCTCCCCCGGTCAACTACCATTCCGTACCCCCTGACCCTCCGGCCCACCTGACCGCGCTATCTACAGGTGCCCCGAATGTCTTCTATTCCCTACCGTGGCGCTCGTCTCGCCCTGTTTGCTACTAGTGTGGCTATCGCGGCCACATATCTCGTTTCTGCCGAAAGCGCCAGCAAGATGAGCGTCGGAACGACGTGCGTGAACGGGATTTGTACGCGGGGGCGTCTTATCAAGGTCGGCGTTATTCGTCTCCCCCGCACCGTTTTCCATCTCCTCCTGCATCGACCGCACCACGAAACAGCCGAAACACGAGACGCCGCTCGCCTTCGCCCTTCCGCCGTTCCACTTCTCCACTTCGGCCTGCCTCATTCACCTCTGAAATTCATTCGGAAAACTAAGTGATGCAGTTTGTGGAGGAAAAACTGCATTCGGAATCAGAACTGAAATTCCTCCATCGGGTCCGTGTAACATGGTTTCTGTGGAAGTGGAAGGAGTGCGAGTCGATGCTTTGGTGGACACAGGTGCGACATTGTCTGTGATACGTGCTAATTTGTGTGAACATTTAAGGAAAGTAATGACGCCTTACTATGGCCCCACATTAGTTGCTGCCCAGGGGAACGTCATTTGCCCTTCCGCGTTTTGTACTGTGCGTGTTTTCATCGACGGCATCCGCCATCATGTCCAGTTTGCTGTCCTGTCCCGCTGCTCTCACCAACTAATTTTAGGGTGGGATTTTCTATCATCTGTTTCCGCGGCAATTTGTTGTGGACAACGCGTCGTTCACTTCGCTGACACGGACTACATGCTTGACGACGACAATCAGAAGCCACTTCGTCTGGTCGCTGCGAAAGACATCGAACTGCCGCCACTACAAGAGCATATTGTCAGCATTATCTCCAACGACATCTATCACGGGGATGTATTGGTCTCACCGTCACCACTTTGCGTTCGCAAAGGTATAGTTCTTCCGTCCGGTGTCGTTCGTTTTTGCAATGGCTCGGCACTTGTCACCGCTGTCAACTCTACACGGGAGAAGATCTTACTGCCACAGGGCACTACTGTGGTTCATGTTGCTGACTTCGAGTCTGTATTTGTCACGCCACTTCAGGCCATCACATCCAAAGAACCTTGCCTCGGTGAGCATGTTTCTTCCTCCGCCTTTACCACCGCTATCAGCAGCGAATCGACATATTCACGGAGGCAGCAGCTGCTCGCATTGTTACAGAAACGTTCAAATTATTTCGATATTTGCTCGTCTAAGCTGGGCCGCACTAATACTACAGCACATTGAATTCAAACTGTTGGGACATCTATTGTACGCCGCCGACCCTACCGCGTGTCTCTAACTGAAAGAAAAATTATAGAAGAAAACGTTGCGGACATGCTTAAACGGGAAGTCATCCGTCCTTCATCTAGCCCTTGGTCGTCTCCCATTGTTTTGGTCCGCAAAAAGGATGGCTCTGTGCGTTTTTGCGTGGACTACCGGGCGCTCAATAAGATCACACGCAAGGACGTGTACCCTATGCCACGCATTGACGACGCCCTTGATTCCCTACAAGGCGCGGAATTCTTTTCAAGCATCGACTTGCGTTCTGGGTACTGGCAGATTCCCATGCATGAAGACAATAAGCATAAAACGGCGTTTGCAACCCCCGACGGGCTATATGAATTTAACGTGATGCCTTTCGGGCTCTGCAACGCACCCGCGACTTTTGAGCGCATGGTAGATACCGTGCTGCGCGGTCTGAAATTGAAAAGTTGCCTGTGCTACCTGGAAGACATTATTATCTTTTCGTCAACGTTTCTTGAGCACCTAGAACGACTGGATCAAGTTCTGACGTGCCTTGCCGGCGCCGGGCTTCAAATAAACACTAAGAAATGCTCTTTCGCTAGCAAATCTATCAAGGTCTTAGGACATGTCGTTAGCAAAGATGGCATCCGGCCCGACCCTGACGAAATTTCTGCAGTCCTTCACTTTCCGCGTCCCGAAAAACCAAAGGAGCTTCGCAGTTTCCTTGGCCTCGCCTCCTATTTTCGCCGGTTTATCCAGAACTTCGCTTCTATTGCTGCTCCATTACACCAACTACTCGCTTCGAACGTCCCCTTTCTGTGGTCTCAAGAATGTGAAACGGCATTCGAGCTGTTGAAGCGGTCACTCACGTCTGAACCTCTGCTCTGCCACTTTGACGAAGCCGCACCGACTATCCTTCATATCGACGCTAGCGGCCTTAGTATAGGAGCCGTTCTTCTACAACGCGACAAGTCTTCCCTAGAGAAAGTTGTTGCATATGCCAGTCGCGTACTCACCCCTGCTGAAAAGAACTACACTATAACTGAGCAAGAGTGTCTGGCTGTGGTTTGGTCGGTCCAGAAGTTCCGTCCCTATCTCCACGGCCGTCACTTCACAATCGTTACAGACCACCATGCCTTATGCTGGCTTTCTACACTGAAAAACTTGTCCGGACGCTTGGGTCGGTGGATACTACGCTTGCAGGAGTACGACTTTGACATAACTTACAAGTCAGGCAGAAAACATCGAGACGCCGATGCTTTATCTCGTTGCCCGCTTCCGACTACCCATATCAGCGTTGGTGAGAACTCAAACGCCACATCTACCAAAGTTCATACGCTCGCATCAATAACACGACCCTTTTCGGACGACCAGGCAACATTTATCTCCCACCAGCGGTCCGATTCATACTGCAGATGCATGATGGACCACCTTTCGGGAGTTTCTCATCCACCAAACGCGCGACTCCGTCGTCAACTCCTGCACTTTAAGCTGGACAATGGGGTTCTCTACCGCCACGTCTACCACCCTGACGGTCAGCGCTGGGTTCCTGTACTGCCACGCTCTCTTCGACTTCAGGTGCTCGAAGCCTTCCACGACGACTTGACTGCTGGTCATCTTGGTTTTAAAAAAACTCTTGACCGCATTCGATGTCGTTATTACTGGCCTGGCCTTTCTTCCAGTGTAGCGCGGTACGTCGGTTCCTGCTACCCATGCCAGCGTCGTAAACTCCCCACGTCGGCACCTGCTGGACCTCTACAGCCACTTCCGTGCCCGTCAATGCCTTTCGAGGTTGTAGGTGTTGACCTTTACGGGCCTCTCCCCGTCACATCTGCTGGCAAACGATGGATAGTGACCGCCGTGGACCACCTGACACGATACGCTGAGACTTCCTCTGTTATTACAGGCTCAGCTGTGGAAGTTGCAGACTTTATTCTTCACGCAATAATACTGCGTCATGGGGCTCCTCGTGTACTGCTTAGTGATCGCGGCAATGTGTTCCTGTCACAAATGGTAAATGAAGTACTCCGCGCTTCTGGAACTACTCACAAGACAGCTTCAAGCTACCACCCTCAGGCAAATGGTCTCACAGAAAGATTTCACCGAACCCTTGCAGACATGATAGCCGTTTACGTCCAACCCGACCACAAAAACTGGGATACTCTTGTACCATTCCTGACATTCGCTTACAACACCGCCGTTCAGCAAACAACTTGCTACTCACCGTTTTATCTCGTGTACGGACGCACCCCGACTACCTTTCTCAACGTCTCCTTCTTTAGCAGCCATGTGAACTCGTGTCAGTCTTCTAGCGAAGAATACATTTCCCGCCTGGCTCAGTCTCGCCATCAGGCTCGCATCAATACTGAAGCGAGACAGCACAAGCGGAAGATCACCTATGACGAATCCCACCGCGTTGTGTCTTTCCAACCTGGTGACGAGGTGCTGCTTTTTACACCTATTCACACTCCTGGTCTCTGGGACAAATTCCAACCACGCTTCATCGGGCCATACAATGTTTTAGAACAGACTTCGCCGGTTAATTATCGTGTGACACCACTCGTCGCCCCAACAGACCGCCGCTACCGCAGCACAGAGATTGTCCACGTTTGTCGCATGAAACCTTTCACGCGACGTTCCCCGTCACTTTGACTTACGGCGGCCAGGGTGTCCGCTTCCAAGTGGGGGGAATGAGTGTGGCCATTTGTTACTTGCATCGTCCTCATCCCTGCATGATCACAATCACCATCATCCGCTTGTCTCTTTGTCCTCATTGCCACTCTGGTTCATCATCATCGTCATCGTCTGTGTACTGGCTCTGCCCGTTCGTTTTGCGAGGTCTTTCCTCAATTAAACGCTGTCGCAACCCAGACTTCCAAGACTTCATAATATATATATAAGAAAGAAGTGTATATCTAAGGGCTCGTTTTGTCGGGCTTTTACACAATATTAATGAGATCTAACAGACAATAATGCCAAGGAAAGTATAGGGCAAGATATTAGACCAAATTGTAATGTAAATATGAAGAAAATTGGGTGAAAAGATAGCTTGCCGTGGGCAGGATCCGAACCTGCGGCCTTCAAATGACGCGTTCTATGCTCTACCACTGAGCTACCGCGACAGCTATCTCCCCAGCCACTTTATAGGGTTTATATGTGAAGTATTTGTGGGAGTGTCAGTCAGTGCCACCAGTAGCCATGGCGGCGAGTGTGGCACACTCTTTTGAGCCTGTTTGGCGCCACGTAGCATGTGAACGTGTTACGAGTGGGCAGCTGACCAATAGTCCTTCGTATACAACCTAAAGGCACTAAGTCTGCCAGTACGAGACCCTCGTTAGTGAATAAAGAAAGAAGCGTATACCTAAGGGCTCATTTTGCCGTGTTTTTACACAATAATGAGATCTAACAGACAATTATGCCAAGGAAAGTATAGGGGAAGATATTAGACCAAATTGTTATGTTAATATGAAGAAAAGGGGGGAAAAGATAACTTGCCGTGAACAGGATCCAAACCTGCGACCTTCGAATGACGCGTTCAGCAGGACGTGCAAACAGGCGTTTGCACGTCCTGTTTGAAAGCATGCTGTAAGTGACATTTGTGGCACGACATGCCACTCAACCACTGGCCCAGTTCCGGTCATGCTCACTTTTAGCATTGCCTCCTTGAATGTCAACGTTGTAGCACCTTGATTTTGCATTGTCCTTAGGGAGCATGTCAGTGGGTAGTCTATGGGAGTGTACAATATTTTCTTCTGACAGTGCATTATGAAATTTTTCTAGCCAGCATTGTAAGGGGACATGTTAAAGAGGCACTAAAGAGGAACAAGGACTTGGTTCAGATTGAAAAACTGTGCTATGAGAAATCTAATGCCATATGTGTCACTATCATAAGTTCATTATTAGTGTTGTAGTTGTTATGAGCTGTTATTAAAGCTGTTATGAGATCAAAATTCGGGTCACATGCAGCGATGTAATTGTCCGCCGCCGCCAGTGTCCGTAACTACTACCGCAAAATAAATAAACAAAAATATAGCACCAAGGACACAGTGGGGCTCGAACAAGGGTCCGCTGCGTGCCAGCCTAGTAATCTACCACTTAGCAACAGCGGTTCTTGGGACTTGTTCACTAACTTGCCTTTTGCAGGCTTAACGTGGGGAAAGGAATTCTGTTAATATCAGTAATAAAGTGTTTTAGAACAGGAAAAAATAACGAGGTGTTACACAATGCGAATAGCATAAGGATTGGGGCGACCAACGCTCCAAGCCATTACAAAAACTTATTTTTGATCACCTATTAACTGTGGTGCATACCCACTTGAGGCATAAATTTCTCATCATCGTCAATCACTGCATGAAGAATTGGCACAAAATTCCTTGCAAGAGTTTATCGGATACAACGCTTCTTAGAAGAACATAGCGAATGCTGGTCTATTAGCTAGAAATAATTATTAATGCTGTAGTGGGTTCCCAGAAAGTATTCCTGTAGTAGTTACCCAATGAATGTTTAGAAGAGGCTCTGAAAGGCCGCTCTTTTAGCTTTTGCTGTGACTCTGCAGCACCTTCCGCGCAGGCCTGGCATTTGTTAAATTTCGCGCCAAGACCTCCGCGTTACAGAAGAAATTCAAAATGTATTATCGGTATTTTTTTCGCATTGGCTCAACAAAATTTTCTAAAACATCCTTTGCTATGTCTGTGGCACCCACATATTATAATGTACTTTATTTGAATAAATTAGAAGCAACATAGGACCCAGTAGACGCGTTCAAAATTTTTTGCGTCAGTGTGTTTGGTGTCGAAATCTCAAAAAGGCGTTGCCGCCCGCATTTTTTTTTTGTGCATTGTCTCACTTACTAAGCATGATGTCGTGGTAATAGTGGTGTTTTCAGGATTATAAAGTCGTCCTTCACTAATAACCAAAAACTGTCTTGCTTTTAAGTGCCCCTTTAAATAACTTTATTTCTGCCAAAGTATGAATAATTTCTGTAATTTCCGTGGTTTGTTTATTTTTGTAGCAGAAGAACCCATGAATTTAGTAAATTGCAGATTCTTTTATGGATGATTTTCATAACATTGTTGAATAGGTAATATTTTATTTATGTTCCGATTGGTTCACATAAATATTCTCACTTATATGCTCATATTTATTTCATCACTGAAAGGCTTTGGTCGGCTGTCAATCTAAGGTATCTTTGTACCTAGTTTGTGCCTGCAATGACTATTAGTGGCTGCATCGACTCAATGGCCGTCTTTGACTTTGTTTTGTCACTCCCAATGCAATTTCACAAGACAGTGTCCGACATGGTCTCCTAGCTCATCATTTTCCACGATCGGCTTCTGTTAACCTACACTTATCTTTCTTATCTGAAAGTGTCCTTGTAGTTTCTAAAAAAGCATAGCTTTGGGATATTTATAGTAAAAGCAGAATCTTTTTTTTTTAATTTTCAGAATACACTTACAATGGATGGCACCTAATGTACGAACTCCTTGCATGGCTAAATACTGGCATGCTTTCTTGCTTCCTAGTGCTTACCAGAACAACTGGGTATTTGGCCAGAATATTGGTGACTACATTGTTGTTTATTTTGTCGTTCTTTCATTTCAAGAAAGTGAGTGCGCAAGAAATACTGAAATGTTGTTGCTGCCTCCTCTTTTTTTCAACCCACTCTTCGAATCGTAAATGTTTTTATATTTTATACTTGTTTTTCTTATTCGTTTATCGTCATCACTGTAGCAGTGTTCAGAGTACCTGCGTTTTCGGCTGGTTAAGCTGGATAGGCGGTCCTGACTAGTGGAGCTCAGTTGAACTAAGCAAGCTGAAGCATGGCCTCTGAGATGGCAGAAAACTGTTGAATGGCAGTGGTTGATTCTGTGTATGTGAAGGGCAGAAGTATTTGTTTGTATTTTGTCTTTCTCTCAAGATCATCAGTGCAGGGTCATTTGCTGCGAGTTTTATGTGAGTTTTCTCTTGAACCTGGAAATAACGTTTCAGTATATATTTTTCAGCTTATCATATCAATTATCCTGTTACAACCATGCCCACCAAACATTATGTAAATGTAATCTCAGTTTAGGAAACATGTCTATTTTCTTTTTCAGTTTGACAGTTTCACTGCTGAGTTTCAGGGAAACCTGCTGTCAAGACCACAATGAAAGCAATGTCCAGAGTTTCTAGAGCCTGCATGACACATCCTGATGGAAGCATAACACGAAAGACATTTCTACCACAGTCTACCTTCAAGCAGTAGCTCCCAACTACAGCCATATTCGCAGTCACTGTCTCCTTTCTCGCCATTAGCAGCATTGTATCACTTATGTTGTGTATTGTAATAGAGTGCATATCAAGAGAGTGTTTAAGGGCAGCATGCAATATTTTCTCATTGAAACGCTGTACAAAATTTCTTTTGTGAAAAAATTGTAAGGAAACATCATTAAGTCTATTCATCTCTTTCAAGATTCAGGTATCCTGTATTACATTTGTATTTATTTGTTAATTTTTTTATGTTCATGTTTGAGTACATTCCAGTACATATTGTTACGGTGCATCATCGATAAAAGCAAGCGTGGCACTTTGTGAAGACGACAAAGACGCCTGTGCATTAGACGCTTGCGCGAGAGGCAGCTCAGCCATCTTGTTCGGCCGCCGATTCTCTGTGGACGCTATACTATAAGCCTAGATCTCACCCCAACACATTTGGTGGATGTGCTGGGTAACAGCCTCTCATCGGAACTTTGCAGCGGCTGTTGTTTGAAGGGTCATAATGCAACGATGACGGAAAATATGACGTCTGCATCTGCTCCTGGTGTTCCTGCGCCTGGAGACGATGCGGTGACTACACCTCCTCCTGCGACCACAACCTTCGTGCTCGAACCCCCGCGGGATGTTGGCGCGTTTAGCGGTTCTGGGGATCCAAATGAAGTGGACATTGAAAAAATTGGCTGGCAGAGTACAAACGTGTGAGTACTCGATACTGATGGGGCCCCACTCTCATGCTGGCAACCTGTTGTTCTATCTTAGGGGAACCGCCAAATCATGGTATGAGAACCATGAAGAAAACTTGGGAGTTGGGCAATCTGCAGGGATAAAGTGTTGGACCTGTGCGGGAAGTTGATTAGAAGAAAAATGGCTCGGAATAAAATGATCGCATCTACTGCGCAGACCTCAACGGAGTCGTACGTCTTGTATATAAAAGGTGTGTTAGCATTGTGTCGCAAAGCCAATGCCGAGATGCCGGAGGCTGACAAGGTCGGACATATTCTTAAGGGGATTGCGGACGACGTATTCAACCTTTTAATCTGCAAAAGGTATTTTACACTGGAGACCATTATAAAGGAATGTCGGCGCTGTGAGCAAGCGAAGAGCCGGCGAATCAACAGCGTGTTTGCCCGCCTTTCGAATACGGCTGCAACATCGTCTTGCGAAGACCATGCAAGAACACAGCCGCCACCTCTAGTTACATCGGATCAGGTGAACCGAATTGATGACGCGAACTTGAAGCCATTGCCCCTGCTCCAGCTCACACTGCTGCAAGTGACACGACCCTACTCACAACTATGCGAAATGCCATTTCGGACTTCGCCATATCACCATACTAGGCTGCTATGTCAGTGCCGCTGATGTTCAACCAGATCCCGACAAGGTGCGAGCAGTACAAGAATTTCCTGAACCACGTTCAACCAAGGACGTTTGAAGTTTCATAGGGCTATGTTTCTGTTTTCGCCGATTTGTTCGCAACTTCGCCTACATCGCTCGACCGCTTATGATCTCTTAAAGAAGGACTTTCCCTTCGCATAGAACATATAAAGGAATGTCGGCGCTGTGAGCAAGCGAAGAGCCGGTGAATTAACAGCATGTTTGCCCGCCTTTCGAATACGGCTGCAACCTGAAGAACTACCCTGATGTAACACTTGTTAATGAGCACGGCGATATGGTTCACCACTGCGAGTGTGCGGATCAATTGAATAATGCATTTCATCCGTACCTTCACATGAAGACACCACATCATCACCCTCCCTTGTCAATATCATCAACCTATCTATGCCTAAAGTAATCGTTCGTGAGGCAAGAATTTCTTGTTTACTAAATAAACTTAAAACTTCTTCGGCATCTGATCACAATGGCATTAATAACAAAATGTTAAAATGTTTGTCTCCTAGCTTATCACCTATACTGTGTGCACTCTTCTCGCAGTCTCTATCTACTAACGCTATTCCGAGCGACTGGAAAGTAGCAAAAGTCGTACGCATATTCAAGTCCGGGGACCGCACTCACCCACTGAACTACCGCCCCATTTCTACAACAAGTACTATTTGCAAATTACTTGAACACGTATTGTACACTGAAATCATTAACTGCTTAGAAGACCACAACATTATTTTTGGATACCAACATGGCTTTCGTTGGGGTTATTCATGCGAAACGCAGTTAGCCGGCTTTTTACATCACATTCATTCATATCTAGACCTAGGATTTCAAGTTGATGCCATCTTCCTCGATTTCTCGAAAGCTTTTGATCGTGTTCCTCACCATAGACAAATAGTAAAACTAATGAACCTGAATATACACCCAACTGTTATTGGACGGATGAAAAATTCCCTCTCATCTAGATCACAATACACATCTGTTAGCAACAGCACCTCCTCATCCACCAACGCAACTTCCGGTGTCCCGCAGGGCAGCGTTCTTGGCCCTTTATTTTTCCTAATCTATGTTAATGACTTACCTAACTGCGTGTCCTTCATCAGACTTTTCGCGGGTGGCTGTGTAATTTATCAAATGATTTCATGTGACAATGACAAAGATATTCTTCTAGCTGATCTTAACGCAAATAATACATGGTGTTCAACATGGCTGATGACTCCTAATACAGCTAAAACACAGTTATTATCATTTACAAGATGCATGCACCGGAGTCCTACATCCTATGTAATCAATAATAACATAATTCAACTGACAACTTCGTATAAGTACCTAGGTGTTCACTTACAGTCTGACCTTACGTGTCATCATCACATCCGCCTGACATTGGCATCAGCTAACCGCTCATTAGGTCTACTCAAACGCAACATCAAGCATGCTCCAGGTAATCTCCGTAGACTAGCATACATCACATTAAAACGTCTTGAAATCGAATACGCATCAGCTATCTGGGATACCTCACAAATCTACATAACCCAAGAAATAGAATCTTTACAAAACCGTGCAGCCCATTTCATCTTTTTCGATTATTTACCCTATACTAGCATTTCAGCACTAAAAACTCGCGCTCAGCTTGACGACTTATTTCATCGCCGCAGAACTGCCCGCCTTTCGCTTCTCCACAATCTCTATCATCACCCATACCTTCACCGCATCTTCGAAGCACCAACAGTCATCTTTCCACGCACAGACCATATCTTCAAGATAAAACGTATAAGTTGTCGCTCAGCTCATTATGCTAATTCCTTCATTTCCCAAACAATAGTTGCATGGAATAACTTGCCATCCCTTATTGCCACTCAAGCATATTTCACAACATTTCACGTACTTTTACTCAACATTTCCGACTAGATATGCACCGTGCGTACTCTCATTAAGCTTCTTCATATGTACATCAGTGTTTAATTTTCTTGTTACCATGTGTTAATGTTTTTCACGACCATTGCACACGCTTGATTTGTATTATTTATGTGTTAATTGTAAACTTTTGTATCTTAAGATCGTGCCTTCGTTTTAGTTTTTTTCCTTGTATACTGTGTTTGTTTGTGCCCTTAATTTATGTTTTCAGTATTAAATATTCTATCTCTATTTATTTTTCTTTCCTCCAAATTATCTGGTTTTTGTTGTTGTTGTTGTTGTTGTTGCTTTTTGTATTTAGCTCGCTTTCATTATTTTGTACAATCTTGTTTTTACATTGTATAAGCATGCAAAGATTTTTTTCATGTGTCCGTTCCCATATGTAATACCCCTTCGGGGGCCTTTAGGGGCATTATGAAATAAATAATAGGGCGTAGAGCAAGGGGATGCCTTTTCGGCTTTTATCCACTTTTATCCATCTGCTGACTACGCCACCAATACTGGCCCATTTCGACCTTGCTATCCTCTACAGAGCTTCGACCCATGCCATCGGTCATGGAATCGGGGCAGTCCTCGGCCAACGACATCACGGGAAGGACCGCATGATTGCTTACGCCAGTCGTCTTATTTCACCTGCCGAACGGTAGTTCTCCACCACTGAGTGTGGATGCCTTGCTTTAGTGTGGGCCGTAACAAAATTCAGGCTTTACCTGTAAGGCCGAACTTTTTCCATTGGCCATCACGCTCTCTGTTGGCTCTCATTTCTAAAGACAAATCTGGACGTCTCAGTGAGTGGGCGCTGCGGCTGCAAGAATACTCGTTTGTGGTCCACTTCAAGTCACGACGCCTGCACGCAGACGCAGACTGTTTGTCGCGTCATGCGGTTGAAACGCCCAACTTGACAGACCTTGAATCAGACCCCTGCGTGCTCACCATCCACACTTTGGTTGATATCTCCACCAAACAACGTGACCCATCGTCACTCTCCATCATCGAGCGTCTGACCTCTGCTCCAACAGACCCTTCCGTTTGCCTGTTCGAACTGCATGACAACATTCTGTACCTTCGCAGCTTCAATGCCGATGACCTGAAATTACTACTCGTGCTTCCCCATGACCTGCGTACCAGCGTTCTCGAACAACTACATGACGTACCTACAGCCAATCACCTAGGCATCTCTGGTACCTACGATCGCGTGCGATGTCGCTTTTTCTGGCCCGGACTGTATCGTTCTATGGTTCTCTACGTCACTGCTTGCGACCGCTGCCAATGCCGCAAGCGCCACTCTGTACTGCCGTCTGGCCTCCTACAGCCCATTGACATACCGATGGAACCATTCTTCTGTGTTGGCCTTGACCTGTTGGGCCCGTTTTCTACGTCCACCTCTGGAAATAAATGGGTTGTCGTCGCCACAGATTACGCCACACGCTTTGCAATTACTCAAGCACTGTCGACTAGCTGTTCCACTGACGTCGCTGACTTTCTCTTGTATGAAGTCATTCTTCATCACGATGCTCCGCGGCAGCTGCTTACTGATCGAAGAAGGTACTTCCTTTCACGTGTTACGGATGACATTCTCTGCGCCTGCTCCACTGAGCACAATAAGCTTACTAACGCTTATCATCCACAGACAAATGAATTGACTGAGTGTCTGAACCGAACGCTTACGCAGATGCTGCTATGTACGTTTCACCAGATCACCGTGACTGGGACAAAGCGCTCCCCTTTGTCACATTTGCGTACAACTTTTCACGCCACGACACAGCTATTCTCCATTTTATTTGCTATTTGGCCGACATCCAGCGTTACCGTTTGACATGCTCCTTCCTTCTTCTGCCTGTTGTCTACTGAGTACGCCAGCGATGTCGTTTCTCAAGCCTATGCAGCCCGTAAGCTTGCGCATCATCGGCTGCACTTGTCACAGGAGCATCAAAATGACTGTTATGATAAGCAGCACCAAAACGTGCACTTCTCGCAGGGGTCTCTTGTACTTCTCTGGACACCAAACCGCCCAGGTGGCTTATCAGAGAA